AGACAAATCTAAGACCGAGAAGAAAAAGAGGAAGGGGAAAACCTCCGGTGCTGTCACAACCGGACGCTTATCTGGTAGTGACTCGGGTGGGGGGGGGGGGGGCAGCAGTGTGCGGCGAGCAGTCCGACGCAGCCTACACTGCAGCAAAATCCCAACACCAAGACCCAGAGGAATGCCGGGGGCACAGATGACGACCTGTGGATTGCCCAGCGCAGGCTGCGAGTCATCAGCAAACCCCAAGGACCGAGCAGAATTGGGCCAACTTCCAGGGGAGGTGCTATGGTTGCAACGGAGAAGGCCATCGAATCTCTGAGTGCCCAAGTTCCGGCCGAGGCCAGACTAATCAGGCGCAGGAAGGCCCAATTTACTTCCGATGCCATCAGCCAGGACACTATGCCCCGGGTTGTCCTCTGAGTCGGCCGAGGGAATCGCGCCAGAACTGGCAGGCGCCGAACTGTACGTTCCGCACCTGCGCAAACTCCGAGCCGATACGTAGGCTAGCGAAAAACCGGTCTGCGGGGAGTGGAGCCCAACGCTCTCGGCGATGACTCACAGTAGGCTCCAGAACTCGGACACGACAAACTCGACCTAAAGGTACGAGTCCAGGAGGTGGAAGGGACGGAGACGGACGGAAAATACTGGGTAGAGCTCGAAAAACGTCATGAAAGCCGTTGATAGGTGGCTGAAGGTGGGGAACGTCAAGACATGAGTGATAGACAGGAGAACCGGTGGCGCCAGCCGCGGGAGGCAGCACCCACCGGTGAGTCATCGCGGTGAGATGCTCCCACGTCTGAGGCACCGGTTGAGACAGATGAGCAATTGGGATTCTCTGAATTGCCATCAGATGCAGCACGTGCTCCAAATGGTAGGAACGCGACGAAGGAACTGGAAGCTTCGTCGGTTCCGGTGAGGGCGGTGGTCATAGAGGTCACGACTGGCTGCTTAGCTGCATCTAATGGTGAGAATCCTATGATGGACGCCATAGTGGAAAACCGTCCACTACTTATATTGCTCATTGGCGGTAAACCGTATAGCGCTCTGTTCGATACATGGGCATAAGTATCGGTTGTGGGCCGCCGAATCACGCAGGACTTTTAAGCTCGAGTGCAGAGAATGCCTGGCGCGATGAACGGCTTCTCGGGTACACCAGTCAGCATGCTAAGGAAGCTGCGACTGGTAATCGAGATCGACACAGTGGTCCGGTCAATTGAGGCATATGCGTGCGAGCAGGAATTGCAGTACGATATGTTTCTGGGACAGGACTTTATCCGTTCGGTCGGGTTTCGGATAGATGCCAAGAAGGACGCATGAAGTGTCGAAGGTCGAGAAATGTAGTACCACTTTGCGCAGAGAGTAGACGACCGCATATACTTTCCCGACCGGCCGAAAAACCTGAATTTGGCTGCGGAAGTGGAAGGACTTTCGGTATTACAGGAGCCCCAGCGATTACAAATTGAAGCGCTAGTGCGGCAGGTGGTGCCGAAGAAGTCACCTGCCCAGACGGACTTGATCGAGCACGTTATTGATGTACAAGGTACTAGGCCGATCAAAACACCCATGCGCTGGTACTCCCCGCAGGTCACAGAGTTCATCAAAAGAGGTTGATCCATCCGCCTCAGAGCGAGTGGTGTAGTGCACCGGTGGTTGTCAAGTACGACGGAAGCTACCGTTTGTGTATTGATCTGCGACCGGTGAACAAAACCACTCGCATCGACGCTTATCCGATGCCGGGGACAGATGTGATACTTGATAGGTTGCGAAGGGCCCGGTACATTTCCAAGATTGACCTGAAAAGTGCCTATCTTCAAGTGCCCTTGCAAGAAGATAGCAAGAAATATACGGCGTTTGGGGCACCGGGCTGTGGTCTTTGGGTATGTAACCGGATGATCTTTGGGTTGGTTAATGCACCTGCAACCTTTATGCGCTTGATGGACGCACTGTTTGGACCAGACTTGGAACCACACGTATTCAAGTACCTTGACGACGTGATTATAATCACGGAAACGTTTGAGGATTACTTGTGGTGTGGCTCGAGAATGCGCTAAGGCGCATGGTCCAAGCCGGGCTGGAGATTAACGTCGAGAAGAGCGAGTTCGGTTGCTCCAGTGTGACATTTTGGGGTACCTTCTCGACAAGAGCGGGCTGCGGCCAGACCCCGATCGCGTGAAGCCCGTCCTGGACTTTCCAGCTCCGCGGAACATCAAACAGTTGCGCTAGTTCCTGGGGATACGTGGGTGGTACTCCAAGTTCATCAAGCACGAGTCGCATCTAAAAGTGCCTCTAACGAAGCCGCTGTGCAAGAACCAGGTCGGGGGCTGGTACTTCGAACAACAACAAGCATTCGATTCGCTGAAGCAAGCGTTGATTGAAGTCCCAGTGCTAGTGCGTCCGGATTTTACCCGAATGTTCTATGTGCAATGCGAGGCGTCGTCCTATGCACTCGGAGCCTGTCTGATGCAGAAGGACGACGAGGGGTACGACAACCCGGTATGTTACGCGAGCCGCACACTGATCGAACACGAGAGAAACTATACCGTATCAGAGCTGGAATGTCTCGCTTTGCTGTTCAGCATTCATAAGTTCAGACCGCATATCGAAGGCGCGCATTTTACTGCAGTCACCGAACATACGGCTCTGACTTGGTTGAAAAATAAGAAAGATCCTTCGGGGCGGCTTGCCCGCTAGATCCTTGAGCTACAGTAATGGGATTTCGAGCTGGTGTATCGTAAAGGGGCATTTCACCATGTTCCTGACGCATTATCTAGTGGAACTGGGATCCAGGAGGACATAGCAGCATTCGAAAACATCGTCGACTCGTGGTACCTCCAACGATTGAAAGACGTAGAGTTAAGACCACAAAAGTTTCGGCATTGGAAAATCGAAGATGGAATGCTATATAAATATGGTACTAATGAACTCCTGGACCCAGTAACCCATAAGGAGCAGTGTTGGCGACTCGTCGTACCGGAGGAGCGTCGATCACGTGTCATGCGAGATGCTCATTGTGAACCGTCTGCGGGACTTCTCGGTTGCGAGGAGACATATGACCGCATCGCTCGCGAGTATTTCTGGCCGGGTATGTGGTACGATGTGCGGAAGTTTGTGCAGTCATGCCAACTATGCGAGCGTTACAAAGGTGAACAGGATGTACCGAAGGGTTTAATGAGCAAGCGAGTGGTCGAGCGTCCGTGGGCAGTCATTGCCACGGACGTAATCTAACTACCCCGCAATAAGAATCGGTATAAATACCTGGCGGTATTCCAAGACCTGTTCACCTAATGGGTGGAGTTCAAGCCACTAACAGTCGCTACGGGCAAGACCTTGGGGAATGCCCTTGAGGAGCTATTCCTTTTCATATGGGAGGTCCCCGATTATCTGGTGAGCGACAGCGGCAAGAACTACCGTGGGGCCGTATTCAAGGGTATCCTCAAGGAGTACGGGATTGAACACGTGCCTTGCCCACCCTACCACCAACAGGCCGATTTCTGCGAGCGAGCGATCAGAACGCTAAAGACCATGATCTCGATCTTCGTAGATCATGATCACAGCGACTGGGACAAGCACCTGCACGAGTTTCGGCATGCGATAAACACGGCTGTAAAGTCGACTACGAGGGTATAGCTCGTATTCCTGAATTTCGGAAGGGAACCACGCCCGGCCAAGAGCTTACGTAGAGAGGTGGGAAAAAGAGGACCGTTTGTGCGCCTTTCTCCCGAGGAATAGGCCGACCGTATGAAGTGCCTGAACACGCTGCGGAGCCTCGTACTTAGGTACATTGAGCAGGCACAGAATAAACAAAAGGGGCATTTCCGGGCAGTTCCGGGAGGGCGATATGGTGTGCCGAAGGTCACACACTCTCTCTAACGCGGCTAAGGGTAGGAACGCGAAGTTAGATCCCTTGTACATTGGGCCGTACAAAGTGCTAGAGGTACTGTCCCCGGAATTGTATATTCTGACGACGGATAGTAAGAAGCAGGTAGATCGCGTGCACGTGAAAGAGCTAAAGCGGTATGTCCCGCCGCGAAGAGAGCGCTAGAATATAAGGGAGAGAAGAAAAACGATCGGTAACCAAGGAGGAGGACCACTAGTTAGGGAACTCTTGCAGACCATGGCACGCGCTTTCCCCCAACCCGAGAAGTATCTTTTCTCCTCTTAAGGAGGCTCGATGGGTTTTGTATAAAATTACAGATTTCTCTAAAACTTTCAGAAATAGTACTTTTTATATTCAACTTCCCATAGCTAAAAAAAATTAATAGGGTTGACGATGAAAATAACGAGTATTAACCATAATAAACTTGCAACTATTTGCACGTTGCTTATGGGAGTTGGCTTGTAAGTGAACACTCAATCAGATTGTTCTCAACAATAAAATTACAGAGTATGCAACAAAATATATTTTTTTATAGATTAATTTTCCAAGATCATGACTGTAGAAAAAAAAGTGGGGGTTGACGATAGCGTTAAAGTGTTATTTGCGATTACAATTTGCAAAATACCACTGTTACGGTAGAACAGCACATGTACTGTTGATTACTGCGCATGCTCGATAATAGAATGGTAGATGCGGCAACGTCGGGTAATATAGAGCGTTCGTTTTGAAAGTAATGATGACACTTGAATGAGATGTGATAATTAACAAGGTACAATTAGTCATAAATTTGTCAAAATTAATTTATTAAATATTTTTTTAAAATTGATTTTGCATGAAATATATTTGGGCTTGAAATATACGTATATAGTATCCCCTGTTTATGAAGTTCTTTTAAATAAATATATAATACAGAAATATAGTTTAGTTAGTTGAATAAATAGTTCAGGTACTTACAAACATAATAATTAACTCAACAAAATATATTTTTTATTTACATCCAAATCATACAAAACAAAAATTGAGTGTTCTACTTTGGTACCATGAGTATAATCATCATTGACATAGAAACTACTTTGGTAAACGCGTATTCTTTAACACACACTTCACTTTTATAATATATCAATGTCTTTCATTTTGTCATGTCATTGAAAATGCATTTGACAATTTTTTTGTTCATGGTAACACGTGGTTTACCATTAACACTCATTCCCAATAACATAGTTACACCCTCAAGACCATTTTCACAAGCTTTTTTGAGAATATTTTTGTCAATACCAGCTTTGGCAATTTTATTCTTCATATGCTTTGTAATGGTTAAATCTGACAGCGTGTTTCCTCGAATTTTTTTAGCTTCATTTAATTTTTTCTTATCCTGAATGAAGTTGATGCTTTGAGTTCTTTCTATAATAGGAGTATTATTTTTACATATCTTTCCAACAAGTTTCGGTAACATCAAAACATCATTGAGAGCATTATGAGCAACCATTACATCTTCACGTGCCAATAAATCATCAGCCAGTGAACTTTGACTGAAGCTTTTCTTTTCCTTTTTTTTATCTACTAAAATAGATTTGAAAATAGACAGTGTATCGCTAAAACCTTTAACGAACAGGTTCATTTCATTGATGAGATGTAAGGATGTAGCCAGTTTAATAATTCTTGGTGCATCAAATCTGTAAAATATAAGAACTTATTAGTCATAACTTATTTTTAACAAAAGAGTATTGTAAGATGTAGTCATACCTGAAGCCATTATGTGCCAACAAAATACAGGGTTTTTTTTGAAGTTTCAAGAAATGTAAAAAACTTAAAAATCCTTCTCGTGCAGAGTATGTTACTACTTTTTGTCCACCAACGTACGTTTGATTTTCGTCTATCTTTCCACCGATATACATTTCATTTCCGATTATCCTGATTCCTGTAATGTTTGATGCTGCAGAAGGCATTTCTTTCTTGGGTAAGATATACACTTCAAAAATGTTACTATCACAAGCTGCGGCTATCTACATAAAATATATTTTTAAAAAAGTTACAACGTAATAGTAGTAGACACACTCTATAATAAAATAGATTGAAAAATAAATCATGTCAAACCTGTACTATTTCATCGGTTGCTAATAACCCTGTAGTTTCAGTATCGAATGTTACGATGCAGCAATCTTCATATGTAGCTTGATCTATGAAAAAAATTCATTGTTAGATATTTATTATAATATAATTTAATTCACAAAAGGAATATAATAATATTAGAATACTGTACCAGCAATAACAACTTCATCAATTAAATCAGACGTATCTAGATAACCAGCTCCAGATTGATAAGTAACACCTTCACGGTTAGTAGTCGATACGTTTTGAGTTGATCTTTCTTTTTTCAAAATAAGACGTATTTTTTTAGCAGGAATCGTTTGTTTCTTTTGTATATTAGTTTCAAAATATTCCTGTTTTCTTTTTCGGAAATTTTCAGTATGCTTTCCAGGAGATAAATTCAAACTAACATTTAGTTCAACAATAAATGTGTATCCAATGTTCTTTTGACATACAGATATTGCTATTCTAAAACAGTGCGATTCAGAACCTCAATAAAAAGCTGATTTTGGATGTTTGCTACAAACGGTGTTATTGAAAGACTCATTTGCTTGACTTGATGCACATGGTGCTAATTGTGCTACACTGTTGATATACGGCTTTTCTAATTTGTCTTTTAAATTCAAATCTGTTAAACATTGACCATCTTTGAAGTATCTGTAAACATGCTGGTTTTTATCATTTTTTTGGCAAAATGTACCACAGTTCTGATGATCTCCGAACGCATGGGGAACGATATTTGACAGAGCATCTTTGACTTTTGGTTCACAACCTTTATTTTATTTGATAGACAAGGCAAAAACTTTCTTAAAATATTCTTTTAGAGTAGCATTTAGTTTGATGTCGTATAATTTGCCATTAAAGGTTTTTGTGGAATGATTGAAATCTGACCACTTTTCAATTGCGTATGGTGAAGGTCGTCTCAAAGCAGCTATTGCAGATGAGTCATCGTCAGCAATGAGAGTTTTTATTCTACACTTCAACTTGACTAAATGTTCATTTTTCAATATTAACTCCACTGCCATATCGGCTTCTATAGCTTTTGACGATCCGTTATGATTTCTTCTGCAAATATGATTTCCCGGAACGACTCGTTTACACTGTCGACAATAAATATTGCGGCATGCCCATGCCATGACTTTCTTACTCAGTAGGCTTATCAACGACGCGTGACCTGTATATAAGAATACCACTTTATTTTGTTTTTATTTCAATAATTTATTGCATAAAAACTTTAATAAAAAGACTATACCACTGAGACTGTTATATTGACGTCCTTTCTTTGGCCATGCACAATCGAACGAACCAGTCAAGTCAGTTATTTCATTTTCGTCTACCTCTTCATTACTGCTTACGCAAATATAAATAATAATTCATTATGAGAACACAAACATGATTAAAGGAAATTAGCTTAAAAAAAGTTTGCTCGCATGAATAATTTCTAGTGACACATTCATTTCTTTTTACATTCACATTCAGTTATATTAACACAATATTAGTAATATAAATATATTGCATATATTTAGAGTAATAGGTTTGATCTCCTTTTACATTCGCATTCAATTTTTATTACACAATGTTAGTGATACATAAATTCGTCACATATATTTTGAAGTATATACAATTTTCAATTGAGATAAATGTTTTGTTATTGTAAATATTAATATTTTCTTACATTTACGTAATTTAAAAAAAATGAAGCCATTAAACATTTATTGTCGTTATTAAAACTAAGATTTTTTCCCCAATTTAAAAGTTTTTTCTTTAACTAACTACTTCCTAAGTACAACATGCATATTGACTATAATATTATGCAATAAAATATACAATTATTGTTGATAACTATGCTACGTATTTGTTAATTACATAAAGTACATATAAAATATTAAGCATTAGTGATATATAAACGCAGTCTTACATAAATAATAAACAGTTCAGTTTTGAAGTAACGTGAAAATAGCTGAAGCTTACTTTTGTTTTTTTAACTCTAATGTTAGTCTTTTTTCTTCTTTGATTGCCGCAATGCAAGTTGTTTGTGCTAATTTTTCAATGCCAGTTCCTACATATCTCTCCCACTTTTTCAGTGAAGAAGCGTTTATCGCTGGAATATTTAGTCCAGAAATAAAAGTATTCAACTTTGTTTCCCCTAAACCAGCATCAATAGTAGCTGCAAATTAACAAATATAATATTATGCTACATGCGCCTAAGTTTTATATATATTTTTTAAATGTTGCTTAAATGTATACTTACATATTGCTAACTTTAAGTTCGAGTCATAATAACGATTTGATGCTCTTTTAGAGCTTGTTTCTACTTTTATTACGCCATTGCACTTATAACACTGGACTAAAATTTGCTGGCAACTCCAATCACATTTTCTTTTAATAAACAACGCAATGATAAAGGGATATCGCAATTATTGCACCACAAATCTGCAGCTATTTTGTCCATATCAACAAATCTGCGACCGTGAAAACATTCATAATTATTCTTTTGAATAGCTTCTGATACCTGCCAATAATAATATTTGATTTTACAATGCTGTACAATACTATTTATATCTCCTGTAAATGGTATACGAATTACAAAACTAACCTCATTCTTAACAGTATGTACTGGCTACTGTTTTATACGCCTTCCTTGTTTCCCTTTGCTTCTCTCAATAAAATTGTGGATATTCTGTTTTCTTTTTTTTTTCACAAATTTTCCTTTACTTTTTTCAATTGTGCCAACAACATTGTAAGTCATGATTTTTCAAATTAAAATGAAAGGCACTGATGCGACAGCTGATGTAAATACAACACACACGATAAATTCATAACCGTTGCCGCGTTTACTGTAGCAGTACCGTACTAGCGTCAGTTTTTTCATGAGGGGCTAATATTGATTTATTTATCAATGCTTCTTTTGCGATAAATTATTCATTTTGAATGAAAAAAGTCAGAACCAAAGTCTTACACAAAAATTTTTGTCATAAATAAGCTTAACAAAAAAGTATCCACTAGTGCCCCAACTTAGGTACGGCACCAAGCCATCGAGCCTCCTTAATAGGTGTAGTGCATACCAATTTCTGTACTAACACGGTGGAGGGAACCACTTCCCTCAAGGCCTACTAACCCAGTTTTGAGAGAGGTACGGTGTGAAGGCTTAACCTTGTCTTTTGTTTGTTTGCAGGAGGTTCCCGACATGAGCTTGGAGGAGGATATCGGCCATCTTCAAGCGCTGGTGAGCCCGAATCAGGGACGGAATGTGACGGCTCCCGCAGAGTCTCTGGAGAGTTCGGGAGTGGCCGCAGCTGGCAGTCATGCTGCTACGGACTCACCGCCCACGAACCCTCCTAAGGTGCAGGAGCTCACCCCTCGTCCCGGGCCTGATGAGCAGAGCCCTGATGAGGACTCCGGCTCTACTCTCGAGTTAGCCGCGGATGCAACGGACAAGGCCAGTGGTGGCGCGCCTTCAGCGTCGCCGGCCGCTGTCCCACATCCGCCGCACCTGGAACGACTGGCTCGAGAGCAGCGGGAAAAGGATGCCCTCAAGGCTAACTTCGTCCCGCTGAAGTCGGTTTACCATCCAGACCGGGTCGAGTAGGACAACCACCTCAATACCGGCCCGGCTCGTCAGACGCTTCTGCTCCAGCAGGCGCTGGCCAACCTGGCATCTCGCGGACCGTGGGCCCGCGCTCAGATTGAGCGCGCCTACGCTGGGGCGGCCATGGGCCTCCAGACTGGCCGCACCCGGGGTCTACAAACCCGCGTAGAACCGGGTACCCCGGGTTTGCGGTTTGGAACCGCAGCAAGGAAGGACCCTGGCCCCCTGCCGACGGTCCAGGAGGAACCCCTGGTTCTAAAGTACACTCCGAGGCGGGAGATGAAAATCCCCCTCGAGGTGCCGTTCCTCCCAGCGTTAGCTGAGCCGGAGGAAAGGCCGTGTAGGGTGCTCCCATGTGGCCCGGCCGTCGGGATCTCTTCCCTCCCGAGAGGTATCAAGACGAAAACGTCCCGGAACCCTCGAGGAAGAAGAAGGCTGAGCGGCTCCCCAACTTCTCTACGGACATAGAGTTCCACTACGTCGGCGATAGCCCGTCCACGCAGGAGGCTTCAACTGTGAGGATGGAGGTTGTGAGCCGACGCGAGGCGGACCAAGGCGCGTCCGGAGAGATTGGGCAAACCCAGACTTCGAGGGCGGAGCCGGTTCCCCACGAATGGGTGAACCCGGACGGGTCTGGCCCCATGGAGGTGGAAAGCCACGGGCCGGTCTCGCCCCCGAGGCCGGAGTTGGTTGGTGGTGAGCCTGCGGTAGGAGAAGAGGCATCGGGCCAGGCGCGCTTGTGGCGCCCGTTCATCGACGCCGACGGAGTTTTCTAGAAGGTGTATCCAGATGGCCGTCGTCGCCAAAGGACACGAGCAGGAGCCAAGCGCGTTCCGGCAAAGAAGAGGGCCCTTCTCGCCGCCAACTCGGATGCGTCGGATACACCTTTTCCCGCGTTGACGCAGGAACCCGCCATCCAATGACCGGAGCTCCAGCCGGAGGCCATGGCAGCGGTAAAGGCCGGACCGGCACCAGGCCGACAGGCCGGAACCGGACCAGGCCGAACATCGTGCCGGGTCTCCCCACACTATCAAGCGCTGGAGCACTACGCCAAGAGGATGGCGGGAACCGCTCCCTCCACGGTGTCGTCACCGGCGTCAACGAGGACGTCGCCACTACCATTGGTGATCGCCGCTACCGGTGCCCTCGGCAGCAATGCCGGCAGTGGCATCGCTAGCCGTACCATCTCTGGCGCCACCTGAACCGTCGACGCCATCGCCGCTCTCTTCTCGGTCGATCGCCTTGGCATATCTTGCCGGGTAGTCGATAGGGGACCGGCTGCGTTTCGTGGCTTAGGCGAGCGAGCTTTCGTAGCCTCCACCACGTCAGGAAGATGAGTAAGACAGGGGAGCGACGAGGTAAGTCAAGTTTGGTTTCGTTTGTTATATTTTTTTATTTTATTTACGTTCGAGGGGTTTGTAACGGAGAATCACGGCTCGGCTGTTGCTCCCCGTCAGGCTCTGACTGATCCCCGTGCGCCTTGCCGAGCTGAGAGTGTGCGCTAGTTGAGCACACTCTAATCGACTGTTTTTCTTGGTTCCCTTCTCGAGATACGACGGCGGCGACGGTGATTGAAGGGAGCCGACGAGAAGATCGTAATGAGAGAGAGAGAGAGATGGAAGATAGGGGAGAGCCAGCGAGTCGCGGGCAGACCTGCGCGCGCACCTCGCTGGCGGAGAAAGAAGAAATCTTGACTTCTATTCTTCTAATTTCAATAATTTTGCAGTTAGACTTGTTTTATCAGGACATGATAAATATTCTTGAAAGTAGAAAAGTAGTGTAAGAGGGCTGCTGAATATTGCAGAAAGAATTTCAGATTGCATTGTTTGGACATCTGATACTACGTGTTCAAGAATGTTTTTCAGGCCAATCACATAGAATTCATAAGTTTCGCAATGATTACAGAAACATATTTTATTTGCAGGATTTATCGACGTATGTTTAGGTTTCAAAGTATAAAATTACGACTTACTAAATTTGAGAGTAGGATGTTTTCGTCGTATTAATTCACAAATTTCTCGCAAGCTTCATGTTAGGAATCGTTTCGCTTTCATTTCTTTTTTGTCATTTTCTTTTACTACATGAACATTTTTTTTATTAGGACTCTGCACAATACAATCAAAATTGTCATTCAAAAATATTTTATTATAGTCTTTTTTGTATCTTTGTTTAGTGGTAAGCCGTGATAAATGTCAGGCATGATGTAGATGCCTTTTTCAGATTTTATTTTTTCTTGCTTTATCATATATTCACTAACAGCGGATAAATTTGATATTTTTCATTTTTTCTTATAGAAAATTTGTAACGAAGAATATGCGACCATTCTCGTCTGGGTAGCTCGCGGCCGTCCGCATAAATTATTTATTTGGAGATTCGGGAAGCAAAAGACGTTTTCACGACTGAATAACGCGTCGAGCACAACCACGTTAAACGCACAGATTCAAAGTCCGGATGAGGAGCGATACAGCGGCGAATAAACACAACAACGGATTAACACACTAATCCTTTAATCGTCAACAATCGATAACAAGACGGCGATCTCACGCCTATATGCGACGAGCGGCACAATAACAAACCCGAACGCGATGGTGAATTGGCAACTGGTTAGCCTGCCGATTTCCTTTGTAAAATAATTTATTACAATAATGCCCGACAAACACTTTTCGCCGTTAATCCATCAACGGGATAGCCAGTAGATCTGCCACGCTACCACCCATTAGCTGGCGCCCAAACATGCAAGAGAGAGAGAGAGAAACAAGAGAAAACACGGCACCGACCTCCACCTTCAGCCTCTCTGACGGCTAGAACGCTCTGCAGTCTGATGTCACTGGTGCGCTCCTTCTCGCTGACCGTCTCGCTGGTGTTTGTTGTTGTCGCTGTTTGTCTTCTTACTCGTCTTCTCCTTCGCTCTGCCAATACTGCTTCCACAATCTGTTGTTCCACACGATGCTGTTGTTGTTGTCGCTTTCGCTGCCCTTCGGTTGCTCGGTACTGCAGCAACGTCGAAGTCCGCTCACGCGCGCACCTCGCCGGTTACCCACACGCACCGGTGCCGAGTATCCTTCGGGACACGGCTGGGCGCGACCCAGCTACACACTCTAATACTTATCCGCGCACCGAGCGTGTCTCCGAAAACGAAACGTTGACGAGGCCGCGGGGCCAACTTCGGAAAAACCGTTTACTTTAGCTTAATCCGTGTGCGACTTTCTCTACACATAGCCTAGCAGAGACTCACTCGAATTTTCCGCAATGATCGCAGTCTGAGCCCCCCCCCTCTCTCTCTCTCTCTCTCTCTCTCTTCTGCGCCATCTCGATCGCTCCAGCCGTCAGCTCAGCCCTGTACAGCACCTCGTAAATGAAAATCCAAGCATGAGTGTGTGTACCACACGCACACAATCTCATCTTGGCGCAGCGCACGGACATTTGCGAGAGCCTGATGGACGAAATTGGCCTAGCCAAGATTCTCCGTTACAGATTGTATAATGAATAATAACCTAACTTTTTCAGAGTTTGAAGATTAATTTTCAAAGCTTCGTCAATATTAACTATCCATTTATTGTTATTGGATTATATTATTTGGTCATTTTTCAATTCGTAATCGTTTATGCCATGTGATTTACGGAATTATTCCTAGAAGGTCCATAAAACTCTTTAAAATGATCATCCACATTTATTTTGCCACTTGTTATAGTGTTACTTTTATTATTTGAAAATAAATTGTCATTTGATAAATCATTGTATTCAGTTTTTAATTTTTCAATTTTAAAGCAGTTTTGACAAACTTCATTTGAACTGGCGAAAATATTTTTCTTGTATTTTTACTGGCATTTTATTAGCTAATTCATGAAGTTTTTCAAATTTCACATTCTTAGTTTTAGAAATAGAAGATTGAAGACGTTTTAAAAAGTACAAGAACTTTGCTCTGTCACGAGAACAAAAATTTTTCAAATATTTGATGTTAATTAATTACTATTAATATCGCACGGTGCGCTGGAAGTGCCTTTGAATCGAA